TGAATTCATTTACTAGTTGTAGACCTTTTCTGGTTGTGTTTTTTGCATCTTCTAGGCATAGATTCATATTGTCAGCAAATAATAGTAATTTAAGTACTTCTTTTCCTATACATATCCCTTTAATTTCTTTCATCTGTCTAATTGCTCTGGCCAGTGTTTCAAGAACTATGTTGAATAGAAGTGGTGAAAGGGTCATCCCTGTCTTGTTCCAGTTTTCAGAGGGAATGGCTTCAATTTTTCTCCATTTAGAATGATGTTGGCCTGAGGCTTAGCATAGATAGCCTTTACGATGTTGAGATGTGTTCCTGCTATTCCTAATTTTTCTAGTGTTAGCCCTACAAAAAGAAGAACAAATCAGCAGCAAAAACAGTAGAAGGCAAGAAATAATTAAAGTTAGAGCTGAAATCAATGAAATCGAAACAAAAGAAACAACTGAAAAAATCAACAAAACAAAAAGTTGCTTTTTTGAAAATAAATAAATAACATTGACAGATCCTTAGTCACACTAATGAAGAGAAGGAGAGAGAGAACTTAAATCACCAGCCTACGTGATGAAAAAAGGTAATATTGGGGCTGGGGATGTGGCTCAAGCGATAGTACACTCGCCTGGCATGCGCCGGGCGCTGGGTTCAATCCTCAGTACCACATAAAAATAAAAATATAAAGATGTTGTGTCCACTGAAAACTAAACAATAAATATTAAAAATTCTCTCTCTCTCTTTCTCTCTCTCTCTCTCTCTCTCTCTCTCTCTCTCTCTCTCTCTCTATCTTTAAAAAAGGTAATATCACAACAGACACTACAGAAATACAGAGGATAATTAGAAATTATTTTGAAATCTTATACTCCAATAAGATAGAAGACATTGAAGGCATTGACAAATTTCTTAAGTCATACAATTTGCCCAGATTGCTTCAGGAAGATATACACAATTTAAACAGACCAATATCAAGTGAGGAAATAGAAGACTCCATCAGAAGCTTACCAACCAAAAAAAAGCCCAGGACCAGATGGATACACAGCCGAGTTCTACAAGACCTTTAAAGAAGAACTAATACCAATACTCTTCAATTTATTTCAGGAAATAGAAAAAGAGGCAGTAATTCCAAACTCATTCTGTGAGGTCAGTATGACCCTGATCCCCAAACCAGGCAAAGACACATCAAATAAAGAAAACTTCAAACCAATATCTCTAATGAATGTAGATGCAAAAATTCTCAATAAAATTCTGGCAAATCAAATACAAAAACATATCAAAAAGATTGTGCACCATGATCAAGTGGGATTCATCCCAGGGATGCAAGGTTGGTTCAACATATGGAAATCAATAAATGTAACATCAATAAACTTAAAGATAAGAATCATATCATCATCTTGATAGATGCAGAAAAAGCATTTGAAAAAATACAGCACCCCTTTATATTCAAAACATTTACAAAATTTTCTAGAGAATTTTTGCCATTATTTTTCACTGCTCAGCATTGCCCCCCCCCCTTTTTAAGCAAGTTTTGAGACATCATTGTCAGGCCCTGCACTAAATGGAACTTTATTACCCATTGTTAACTTTTCACACTCTGAATTGGTAGCACTGTATTGCCCATTATTAATATTTTACAGTCAAAAGACTGCTGGCCCAGAGGACATGGACAGCTACTGAGTGGGTGGATATCATCTCGACCACCATGTCTGGACTGTAAATCTCCTTCTCAGACTGTGCCCCCTCCTCCTGCCAAAGAAACTGAAAGACCCAGATACTCATTGTTATGCACTGAATTATGTTTCCACAAAATTCATATGTGGAAGCCTCAATACTGACTAAGAATGTATTAGAGATTAGACCTTTAAAGAGGTGATTCAGTTGAAACAGGGTCTTTTGTGTGTCTCTCATCCAAAATGACCTGTGTTCATGTTAGAAGAGGAGATTAGGGCCCAGACAAGAGGCGGGCCATGTGAGAACACAGTGAGAAGATGACCAACTGCAAGCCAAGGAGAGAGGCTCAGGAGAACCCAAAGCTGCTGACACCTGGATATTTGGCTTAAATCCTCCAGAATTGTGAGAAAATTTTTTTGTTGTTTAGGTCACTGGATCTGTGGTATTTTGTAGTACAATCCTAGCAAAATGGCACTTCATGTATGCAGTCTACTGTGCAGGTGGTTGTGGGTACTTGACTGGGACCCAGGAGTCAGGGGCATCATTTCCAATGCTTACTCAGGAGCCAGTTATGGAATAAATGAAAGATTCAGAGTTTCCTTTGGGGCAGTGGGAGTAATTACAATAACACAGGATGACAGGGCTGCAGAGACAGTGGAATTGCAGCTGCCTGAGCAGCCTTGCAGGCACCACCTGCAGAGTCCAGGGCTCAGAATAGGAACCCATGGATGCTCAGAGGAGGGCTTCTCCAGACTTATTTTCTGTGCTGTGTTGATTTGGTAGATTTGAGCCCAGTTCCCTGAACCTATTGGGGATTTTCAGGCAAACCTGGTATTCACTAATTTGTTCCTTTTTAATTTAATCAAATCACAGTCCATTTCATTCTCACAAAATAAAAACTCTGTCTTATATACTTTCACTCCAACATTAGGCAAAAAAAAAAGTCAGATCATCTTGAAGATACATTTGTAGAAATTGTAAGAGTGGCAAACTTAACAGTGCTTCTCAAAGGTATCCAGTAGTTTCTGGGTGCTGACATCCTTCCTTCATTGAGTTCTTACCAGAAATCAACTGTATCTACTTTTACTCTAAGCCAGAACCAGAATTCTATGCAGCCAGAGAATGGACTTTATTTCAGGTTCCTTCTGCATCAGTTCTGCGCACTTCACCATCCAGAGCCCATTCCATCAGAGGGATAATGTTGCCACCACCAGATGTCAGTATCTCCCTCTTCTTAGATCTTCTTTGAATCTGTGTGTGTATGTATATGTGTGTGTGTGTGTGTGTGTGCACGCACACACACATGTGCCCTTGCTTGCTTGCTTGCTGTTTGCATGTGTGTTCAAAACAAAGGATTGAGTTTGCTGCTGACTGGGTAAAATCGAGACTCTGGGAGTGGACTGGAAGACTAGATAAATGTTCAATAATGGGAATTCTTCTGACTGAGGGACTTGGCTCCTTTTTAGGTGCCAGAGTTGTGCCTCCTGTAATCCCAATAAGGAAGGAAGATGCAGAAACTCCTGGGAGTGTGTTTGGTGACTCTGTGGCTTCAGCTGGCCAGTGAGTGAGGGGCTGGTGGAGATGGGAATAGGGAGACCAGATTTGGAGGTAAAATCTTCCTATGATTTGGGGAATAGGATTTAAAAGTTCAGTAGTGACTTCTGGTCTCTGGCCTCATTTCTGCCTAGGGGTGAACAGCCAACAAGAAGAAGAGAGCCCTCGGGTCCTGAGCATCCAGGAGGGTGGAAATGCCACCATGAACTGCAGTTACAAAAGTAGTACTACCACTCTGCAGTGGTACAGACAGGACTCAGGTAAAGGTCCTGCATTGGTGATTTTAATACGTTCAAATGAGAAAGAAAAACACAGTGGAAGACTAACAGCCACCCTGGACACCTCCACCCAAAGAAGCGTCCTGTCCATCACGGCTTCCCAGACTACAGATGCTGCCACTTACTTATGTGCTACAGATGCACAGTGATCAGCAGGCACCTGCAGCCCTGATGAACACCCTGCCAGGGCTGCTTCCCAGAGGCCCTAACCATGGGTGGACGTGATGGTTTCACATCCTCCATGCAGTGGGAAGAAAGTCCGTTCAGATTTGTGGGGGTTTTTTAAAGCATTTTGGAATAGTCATGAGATATGGAAAGGGAACAGCAATGCCAGGCTCAGCTCTGCCCATCTTGGCTCCATGTCCTCAGGCTCATCCTCAGTGTAGGTGCCTTCTATATCCTAAGGTGACTTGAAGGATTTTTATCACCGACTCCAAATGATTCTTTTTATTCTAATTTTATCAGGAAAAAAGTAAGCCCTGAATACCAGCAGAGGACCAGGAAGGACTGCTCAGTATTGGAAGGTGTTTTGTTCAGTTGTTTTTTTTTTTTTTTTTTTTTTTTGCTGTGACTAAAAAATCTGACCAGAACAATTTTAGAGAAGGAAAAACTTATTTGGGGACTCACAGTTTCAGAGGACTCAGTCCATAAAAGTCTGGCTCTTTTCCTTGATGCTTGATGTAAGGCAGAACATCATGGCAGAATAGTGTGGCAGAAGGAAGTGGCTCACATGATTAGGAAGCAGAGAGAGACTCCACTCACCAGAAACAAAATATATATTCCAGTGCCAAACCCCCAAAGTCACACCTCCTCCAGCTGCACACTACCCACCTTCAGTTGCCACTTAGTTAATCACTATCAGGGGATTAATTCACTGATTGGGTTGAGGCTCTCACCACCCCATCATTTCTCCTGTAAACATTCTTGCATTGTTTCACATGTGAGGTTTTGGGGGACACCTCACATCTGGCTCTGACATTGAAACCTAATGTAAACTACACATTCTGGCTGACAGCGATGGGTCCATGAAGTTTCTTAAGTTACAACAAATGTATCTCTCTTTTGCAGGATGTTGATAGAGGGAAGCTATGTATGAAGGGGTCAATGTCAGTTTGTGACTCAAGAGACATGATATGAAATTATTCATTAATAATACAGTATTTCTGGTGATTTTTGCCAGATTCCATGACTGGCAAGGTAGGACGAAATGTTGAGACTAAAAGTTTTACCTTCTTGTTAGAGAATCCAAACTCTGTTTTTACATTTTACCTTAATACCATCTGTAGGAAAAAAAAAGGCATATGGAAGACCAAAAGACATATGACCATGATAGCCCATGACTAGAGTTCATAATAACTTTAAGTCTTCCATTTTACATCAAAGAATATATTAAATTTTACTAAGATAAAGCAGCTGCTCAGAGTTGTCAGGCATCTCCCACTATACAGGAAGCATGAGACAGGACCCAGGCAAACCTGCCCCATATCTGCTAACTGCATTTCCTGTTAGAGCAGATGCAGTGCATATCCCAGTAACTTTGCTTGTACCTCTTGAGCACCAGGTGCAGAATTAAGATCTGGATTTGGGACAAAACGGAACATTTCTCTCGGGGAAGAGCTACCACTATGCTGGCCACCAGCCTGCTGGGAGCAGCCATCGCCTCCATCTGTCTTGGTAAGGATGTGCACAAGCACAGGGCTCAGGCTCTTCTCAGCCCTTAAGGTCTGCAGAGACAATCTTTGTTTTCTGATGAGGTTCTGAGGGATGAATAAAAGGCAATTGGATCAGAGTGCTGGGTCCTTAGTCACTCTATCTTTTTGACACACATAGCTCCAGATAAAGGATTAGTCTATTTCTTCTTCTCTCCTGCAGGAACCAGCATGGCCCAGAAGGTAATTCAAGCTCAGACTGCAATTTCTGTGTTGGAGAAGGAGGCTGTGACCTTGGACTGTGTGTATGAAACCAGTGATCCTACTTATTACTTATTCTGGTACAAACAACTACCCAGTGGGAAACTGACTCTCCTTATTCATCAGGGCTCTTACAATGAGCAAAACACAAAAGAGGGTCGCTATTCCCTCAACTTTCAGAAGGCATCCAGTTCCATCCAGCTCACCATCAAAGCTTCACAGCTCATGGATGCAGCAGTGTATTTCTGTGCCCTGAGAGAGGCCACAGTGTGAGGGCTGCCTGTGGGAGTCCCACAAAAACCTCAAGAAGAGCTAGGGCCTCTGGGGGGAGACCCCACCACAGACAGGGAGGAGCAGGGTCTGTGTCAGCACAGGTGGGGGTTTGGCAAGGAAACCTGAGAGCTGTTCATATAGAATGTCCAGATGTTCACTTGTGAGAAGGATGTGTAGCTCATGTTCTATGTGATAGATTGAGATAGAACATCATGTTTTATAGCACATAAAAATTATTTTCAAAATAAAATTTAATGAGACCTTATTAATCTTATATTGATTTTATTGAGTTGAAAAAGTTTTCAAATTACCTTTATACCAAATGTATGATTTGCATTTGAGACATTTTATTGATGAGTTGTTAAATTTTTAAAATCGTAAATGCATTTATACATTCATTAGTATGTAGAAAGTTTAACCCACTTGTAAAACAAATGCCTTTCCTTTTTTTTCTGGAGAAATTTTCTTAGTATTTTTTTTCTCAAAAATAATTAATCAAGTAGAATAAGTTGGTAATCAATCAAGTAGACTAAATTAAGTTAGAACTTTTCCCATAATACACTAGCACCCTTTTCTACAAACAGAGTAGTCTTACAATGTTCCCAAAGTTACCACTGTCTAGCTTCTCTCTTTTGTGATATGATTATGATTTTGTAAAAGCATCTAACTTTATTGCTGCATACAAAAGGAGATGGTTAGTTGAAAAATTGACCTGACCTATGGATTCTCTTGTCTTCATCCTTTCTCTTCAAATTACTGCCAGTTTGAACATAAGAAGAGATCAAGGCCAGAATGACAGCTGTCATAGCAGCCAACACCGTTTTATTTCTTTTTCTCCACATATGTTTTTCAAAAACCTCTGAATTTGATTGTCATCATTTAAAACTCAAATATCATAATAAGAACAAGATTTCCTGCTTACCTAAAAAAATGGGAGATCTATGAATGCTAGGTCCTCTGGGGTAGAAGACAAATGTTCTGTTCGAACATGTAAAGACTTTAATGAATTTTAAAGACTTTTATGAATATTTAATGGATATTCATTTCAAAATATGCAAATTCACCATTTATTTCATAATATAAATTTATCTAAATTTAAAATGTTAAATTATTAGTTACAAAAATTATTTGTATCTATAAACAAATCCATAAGACAGACAAATCTGACTTAACATTTTATTACACTACATCTGTTTTTCCACATGATTTCATGTATCACCCTGTATATTCCAGTCTGGAAACTTAAGTGGAAGATATTTATCAAGGTATAATTAATTTGAAAGATATTTAGTTTCTATGGTAGGTGTTAGAAAATCATTAGGTAACAAGATTCCTGCCTTTATAGATGTCATATTCAGTGGGTATAGTGGTATCTAGTATAGAATATCAGGCAGAAAGAACACTGAACTGAAGTTTTAAAGATCATTACATAAACAACTAATGTGACCTTAAGGCAATTAACTTCTTTGAACATCTGTTTCCTTAGCTGCAAAGTGTGGAGGTTTAAAATAGGCAGTGCTATTGAATAGTTCTTTCCAAAAATTTGCTGGCCTCACAAATCACTTATTTCACCTTTTTTTTTTTTTTGAGTTCCTAATACCTATTAGCTACCCCTCTATATTTGGAAGAAGACAACTGAGTGTCATATAAACTTTTATAGTACTCTACCCACTGCAGGATAGTGTAACAGGAATAACCAGAAGCCAGAGGGAGTGGGGAGAGAGGAGAGTGACCTGGGAAGTCACCTGCTATCAATGCACAGGTGTCACTGTTCTAAGTCGGTATAAAAGAGAGGAAGAGGAAGAAGGAGAAGAGAAAGGGAGGGAAGAAAGTAGAAAGAGTAGGGTAAGGGAAAGAGGAAAGGAGAGAGAGAAGGAGGAGGAAGGATGAAATTGAGGGACCAGAGGAGGAACAAAGGAAAGAAGAAGAAGGAGGAAGGAAGAGAACAGGTTTTCACTCAATAAAGCAGCTTCTATTTAAATATGCTGTTGTGGTCTCTTTCACAATTCACCAGACACACTTTCTTTCTTCTGTGTGGGAGAATCAGGATGTGTAGAAGATGCCCATTTGACAAACATGAGGTAACTGACATTTGCCAGCTAGCTGGAGCTCCAGATGACACACCCTCTCGAGAAGTCCTAAGGTAGATGGAGAGACAGGCATTTTAAATCATAGCAGTGCCAAATGTCCCTTGTAAAGTGAAGACAATTCCCTGTTCCTAAAGGAACTAAGAACTTTGTGGATAGTTGGGCCTCCTTCAGCCTCAGAGCCCTATTAGAGCTGGGTTGCAAAGGCTGATGCTCACAGGTGTTTACAGGAGACTGGACATCATTTTATTAAACAGATGTAGTTTAATAAAATAGATGTAGCTGTCTAGGTATTTGAAGAAGAGGGGAAACCTGATGCTGTATCAACTGGCACTGGACCTTACTGTCAAAAGATGAAAGAAAGTGACATGGTAAACTCAACATTCTCTAAAGTACAGTGGGGCTGCCAATAGGTTATCCTGCTAAGAGCCAAGTATATGATGCATGCCATTTTTGGTCGAAAGGTGACACCAGCTAGCCATTGAGATGATATGATTATGTTAAGATTTGCATTCATATGGATACTGGACTCCTGCTGTTCACCTTGGCCTGCTACTGGACTCCTGGAGAGTTCCCATTGGTTGGGGAAGCACAGTAGGAGGGAGTTCCGGGGGAGGAACTCTCTCTGGAGTTTCTGGGAGAAGGTGCTGTGGGTGGATCGCGATCTTCCCGGGGGCGTACAAAACATTGGCGGCAGTTTCAAAAAATAAAGTTTGTTTCTGCTTGAGTGGCTCGTGATTTTGTGCCCAGCCAGACTGCGGCATTATCCAAGATTGAAGGTTTTTTCACGTTGTCCCTGATTCCCATCTGAGTCAGGCTGCAAGCTTATTGCAGGTGGAAAGGCACGGTGAAGAAGGTGATTGATAATGACCATTAGGCTCCAGCCCTGTTGCCTCCTTTACAGGTGCTCTCTGAAATTAGTCAAAATTAGTGAAACAAATTCTGCAGGACAAAAAACTCTGATTTTTTCAACAATAATCTTCAGAGAATGAAATGGAAGGAGGAGACCTAGAGATTAATGGGTCTGAAAATGAATCAGTTAATCACACTCTGTGGCCCTTAGGTATATGCTGAATCAAACAAACTATAAAATAATTGAAAAATTGGGGGCTGTGCTTGTGGTTCAGTGATATAGCACTCGTCTAGCATGCATGAGGCCCTGGGTTCAATCCTCAGCACCACATATAAATAAATAAAATAAAGATATTGTGTCCAACTACAACTAAAAAAAATCAAAAGAAAAATTGAACACATTGGAAATTCAATTGTATTAAGGAATTAATATTAATTTTTAGGTGTGATTGGCCTTGTGATTGTTTTAAAAAGTAAAAATTTAGAGATTTGTAGCACAAGTATTAATGACACAATTTTATAGCTGGAACTTTAAAAATGGTTTAGGAAAAAGTAGTTGGGTAATAAGTGAAACAAGTTGGGTTATAAATTAATAATTGATGAAACTGAGTGATGGGTACATGGGGCTTAATATTCCATGCAGTATACTTTTGAATATATTTGAAATTATCCTTAATATAATAAAAAAATAGAAATTGGCTAAATTCAAACCATATCATCTTGATTGCAGAATGACCTTTGATATATTCTTTAATTCTTATTGATGGCTCAATTTCCTCCTTTGTGAAATAGTAATATGTAAATTATCTTGTGGAGTTGAGTTGGGAATCAAACAAAATCAGAAGACTATATAAATTATGTGTATCTATCTATATCAGTTATGTATACACAATATATGTACATCAATATAAATTATCATATATATACACACACTATATATGTGTGTGTACTAACAAGCATGAGCATAGAAAGTTTTAACAGAGGTACACAACATGAATTTTTTTTTTTTTTGGATTACTGGAGATTGAACCTAGGACCTCACACATGCTAGGTAAGGATTTACCACTGAGCTATTTAATTTTTTTTTTTTTAATTTTGAGACAGTGTTATCAAATTGCCCAGGCTGGCCTTGAGCTTGAGATCATCCTCTCACAGGCTCCCAAATAGTTAGGATTACAGGTGTGTGCCACCATACACAGCATGACATCTTGACACAGTGGGAACTCAATTCATGCTAGCCATTATTAATATAAAGGCTAGAGGTGGCTCTTGGACCAGCATCATAATTTCAATCAGGTACTCTTTTCATTACACTATACTGCTCATTGACATGGTTTCAAAGCAGAGAACAAATAAGGGAGGAGTTCCTGGCACAGTCTGAAAAAAAACACCCCAGCAGGGAAATTGTCCCTTGGTAAGTTCCCCATCCACAGCTGCCCTTCCACCAGCATCTACCCTCCCAATAACTCAGGTCCTGTCAGAGAAGCAGCTTAATATGATATAGTCAATATTCACACCAGCATTCATACTGATCTGGTTTCAGCCTTTATACTACTGAAATAAACAACTCATCAATGTTTCACAACAAGATAAAATCTAACAAGTAATGGTATCTTTTCCCCTGAGAAATATAGAACTGACAGATGAGTTCCAAGACACTAAATCTCTATAGGTCATGGAGTTTTCCCCTCCTCTTATTTTAAGAGTAGATTAATACTTTTTCAATATACTTGAAAAATCACTGATAGCTTTAATTACTTCTTCCCTAAGATGAGGCGATTATTGGTAGAAGAAATTCTCATCCTGTACCCAGTTTCAGCACTAGCCATCTTGGGAATGGGATGGGGTTTATAACCTGCTTCAGGAAGACATGAAAAGGCTCACTCACTCCCAGAAAAAGACACTTCTTTGTTCCCTGCTCAGGAACAAGAAATTGGGGGCCACTTTGGTCACAGATTTGTGTCCTCTGCTTAAAATGTTCCCATTAAACAAGGGTAGTCTCTCCATCTCTGATGGCTGTACTTCTGCCTCAACCTCCTGTGACTCTACTTTCTGGGAGAA